CGCGAAAAATTAACGTTGGGAAATACCCGTCTGGTAAAAAAAAAAAAAAAAAAAAAAATGACGATAGAGGGAAAGGTTTACTGTTTACGATGGCCCCTGAACTCACGTCTGCGTACACTACGACTCTTTCTTTTCCCTCCGTCTTTGTCAAGCCACAAGAACGCCTTTCCTGCGTCAGTCTTTGCACGCTCCACGAAGCATTGCTGCTCGACACGAAAAAAATAGAGATAAAATTCCCTAAATACTAAGCATGAAAGACATTTGCGTGTTTCGTCTCACTCTGGAATCTTGTGGCGTGCTTGGGACCTACCCAGATTTGGTAGATAGATATTTCGATAGAAATGAAAAAGACATGGCTCAGATGACATCCTTCTTCGGGTCCTTAAGGAATGTGTCTGCGAAGTCCTCCCTCTGGTCGTTCCTTTCGCCTCATTCTCAAAACGGGAATCAGCCCTTCCTCATGTGTGCCGGGTGGAGCAGCCGTTAACGTTCCCGTCTAGCTATCTTGCTGATCTGCATTCAATCCCGCGCGCTGCCAGTGGAACGTAACCCCGGCCGTTCCTTGCACACAGGGGGAGATTTAGAAGCAAAATAAAACAGCGTGTCACAGTAAAGAATATCCACTGTAACACCTGAAATTAAAACTAGATATTTTTAATCTTTTTAAATCTTGGAAACGTGTATTCATCCAGCCAGTTCCGGGAAAAGGAAACCGTTCTAATATTTCTCAATACAGTCCACATGTAATATTTTGCCCTTAAATAGAATCTTCTCATCAGCGTTCAGGGACTTTGGGGAAACTTATGCTATAGCTCTTAATATTTCTAAAGCTCTGGATGGAGTTTGGCACAACTTCCTTTTGGCTAACTAACTTAATCTTGTTTTCTCTCGAAAGGTTCTATCTCGTCAGCGTTGACGATTCTCCTTTTGAACTCTTTCCCTTCTCCAGTGGCCTTCCTCAGACAGTTATCCTCTATCCAGCTTTGTCCCTTTTCTTTATCAATGGTATCCTCGCATCCATCATAAACTTATCCACTCATATGCATATATTTCTTCCTTTTAGATCCTGTCAAATTTGTCGCCAATCTCGCATTATTCTCCTTGCATCTCTCAAGTCCGACTTTGACACGATTATTGAAAGGGATAAATAGAATTTAGTTAATTTCATTGCCAATAATAATGATAATAATAATAATCATAGTATTAATAATAATAATAATAATAATGATAATGATAATGATAATGATAATGATGATAATAATAATAATGATAATAATAAAGATAGAATAATAAAATAATAATATCAACAATAATAATAAATAATGAAACTGAAAATAGGAAAAAAAATAGGTTACTCCCTATTTCCCTGTTCACTCCTCCTTTTGAAGCACGACAAGCCATTCAGTAATAGCCAATTGAATCCACTTGACTGCGCCGAATGCTGATCTGCGTGGAAATTGACAACGCGCAGATTGGCCGGTATTATACCTCTATGTTCTCTCTGTCGTGGTGGCGTTGTTGTCTAGCGATCTTGTTGATCTGCGTTCGATTCCCGCGCACTGCCAGTGGATGGTCACCCCGGCCATTCCTCGCACACAGGGGGTAGTTTAGAAGCACAATAAACAGACAAGCCGAAATTTGACTGATGTTGCAAGAGCCTGTCATTATTATCATTATTATTATTATTATTATTATTATTATTATTATTATTATTATTATATTATTATTATTATATTATTATTATTATTATTATTATTATTATTATTATTATATTATTATTATATTATTATATATTATTATTATATTATTATTATATTATTATTATTATTATTATTATTATATTATTATTATTATTATTATTATTATTATTATTATTATATTATTATTATTATTATTATTATTATTATTATTATTATTATTATATTATTATATTATTATTTATTATTATTATTATTATATTATTATTATTATATTATTATTATATTATTAATTATTATATTATTTTTATTATTATTATATTATTATTATTATTATTATATTATTATTATATTATTTATTATATTATTATTATTATTATTATTATTATTATTATTATTATTATATTATTATTATTATTATTATTATATTATTATCATTATTATTATTAATATATTATTATTATTATTATTATTATTATTATTATTATTATTATTATCATTATATTATTATTTATTATTTTTATTAATTATTATTATTATTATTATTATTATTATTATTATTATCATTATTATTATTATATTATTATATTATTTTATTATTATATTATTATTATTATTATTATATTATTATTATTATTATCATATCATTATTATTTATTATTATTATTATTATTATTATTATTATTATTATTATTACTTCCAATCTCAGCAACTTCCCAAATATTTCACTTGTTATATCACTGATGCCACAAATTGGTTGAGGTATTTACTGCCCGCTCTGTCTCATAAAAAGGAAAAGGATAGATAGATAGACAAGTAGATACGTAAATAGATAGGTAGATATGAAAAAGATGGTAGCTAGTTAGGTAGACAGATGGAGAGAGATAGGTTGATAGAGGAATACGTAGACAGACAGGTTGTTTGACAGGTAGATGTATATACAGGCAGATAATTTAGGATATAGACAAATAAATATATCAATATGTAGATAGGCAGACATGAATAGACAGAGATAAACTGAGAAATTAATATCTATAAAGACAGGAAGATAAGTATATGTACGAACAATGAACGAAGAGAGAAACATAAATGGATAGACAGAGAGATTGGATAAATTAGCTAGAAAAATGCAGCGATTCATTAATATCCAGGAAATACCGCGGATCAGATCTGATCCATAATCCTTTTCTCAGATAAGGTAAGATAGGGATCATCGTCCCAAGACATGTAAACGCAATGAAATATACACTAATGATTACGTAATTACATGCACTCCCGTGTGTGTGTGTGTGTGTGTGTGTGTGTGTGTGTGTGTGTGTGTGTGTGTGTGTGTGTGTGTGTGTGTGTGTGTGTGTGTGTGGTGTGTGTGTGTGTGTGTGTGTGTGTGTGTGTGTGTGTGTGTGTGTGTGTGTGTGTGTGTGTGTGTGTGTGTGTGTGTGTGTGTGTGTGTGTGTGTGTGTGTGTGTGTGTGTGTGTGTGGTGTGTGTGTGTGTGTGAGTGTGTGTGTGTGCGAGTATGTGTGTGTATACACATATGCATCAATTATGTACGTATGTTTGTATGTATGTATGCACACACATATTTTCATATATGTTTGTGTATATGTGCGTGCGCGCCTGTATGTGTGCATAACGTTCCCATGAAATCTCTGGATTGATGTTACTCAATCCCGCTGTCCGCAATTCATCCATGGAAGCTAAATATATAGTTTCATCCGAATAATCGAGAACTTTGTTAAGGACAGCAAACAGATCCCAGGATACTATGATCGGATTTTGTGTTTATGCTTATATTGATAATTTCGGCAGAGGTGTTAAGCAGTAAGTTAAATCTAGTAATTACTGGTTATTATTTTTTTTCTTAGAGATGTGTGGTGTCTCGGTAATAAATAATATATATATATATATATTTTTGGAGAGAGATAGTCGCAATCTATTCATTCTATCAAGAAACACATTTTGAAACTCGAATTTCATGGACGCCCCAACGACATATTGGGCTCCGGGTCTAGTGATGATGATGATGATATATTTATCTGTCAAATTATCTATCTATCTATGTATATAGGTATCTGTCTATATCTTTAGCTCTCTCTCTCTCTCTCTCTCTCTCTCTCTCTCTCTCTCTTCTCTCTCTCTCTCTCTCTCTCTCTCTCTCTCTCTGTCTCATTCTATATCTGATCTATACATTTGTATCTACGTTTGTCTGTATCTGTATATATATCTATTATATCTATCTATCTATATGTCTCTGCATATCCCTCTCTCTCTGTCTGTATATATATATATATATATATATAATATATATATATATATATATATATATTATATATATATATATATATATATATATATATATATATATATATATATATATATATATATATATATATGTATATATATATATATATATATATATATATATATATATATATATATATATATATATATATATATATACATATATATATATATATATATATATATATATATATATATATATATATATATATATATATATATATATATATATTCATAAGAAGTGGGAACCTCTATGAAGCGTTCGCCTTATAGCTCGTTTTGAGATGTCTCGGAAGACTCGCGGATCTGTGTCTCTATTTGAGCTTATCCGCCCAGCATCTCACGGAACGTCTCTGCTGTTGAGACTGCAAGACTGGAATCTCCAAACGCGTCCTGCCAGTTGGTATTAAAAGGATTGTGTAAGCCCCTTCTGCCGCGCCAGCATCTGAGGGCATGGGTACGTGATCGTTGCGGCGAGATGGATGCCCAGAGAATGTATGTCCTGGATGCCCAGCGAAGAGCTTTCCCTCGAAGCGACGCAGCTGTCATGCCAAGTTTCGACGCAACCAAAGTCGTTGTCGAACTGATGGAAGAGATAAATAAATTGATTTATGAAAATAAGAGAAACAGCGCATAGTTCTCCAAGAAATAATAATAATAAAAAGTTATTGCTAGCGGATACGAGAGCGCCTTCGACCGACCTCCTGTAGCGTCGATCTCCTTCGTCGTGTCAGTGACGAGGGTGGCCTCTTGATTGCCTTCAATTACAGTCCCAAAGTGTGTGTATGTGTCCGTAAAAGTTCCTTCTTTTTAGCCTTTTGGCAGAGGATATAATTTTACTAATCTGCTGTATTAAGTTTATCATCTTAGGGATCAACTCATGAGCAATACATGCAATATCCCTGGGAACGTTCTGCCGTGAACCAGTCCGACAGATTTCCACAATACCTTTGTACAGCGCTGACGTCACACTACCTTAGTGCTATCACAGACCCGTGGTATATAAGCAGGAGATAGTGCAGGTGTTAGGCACCCTCAGGCACCCAACGGTTTCTCGTCCACCAAGTTCATTCCTAATATCTGCCGAATTCACAGATAAACGGATACAGGATGTGTGAGTGAAATCATACTCTGTAGATTTGTGTAATTAGTGTTAAGGGGACATATAATTCACGTGACTTTTGTAGCGCTGGTCATAATCGTTTTCCTTAGCTCTGATAATGGATTTGTAAACATTTTATTGCCATATGTGTGAGATAACATAGGAAAGATATTTCACGTTGCTGTCCGCAGGTAAGCTAATTATGCACTTTTTATCTGGCATGCGTTTGTTTCTGTCTAGCTTTCGGGAAAGGATAACCCTGAAATGCAGTATAATAACATTACAAAGGAAAAACAAATCGTAAAAAGTAATACTAACAAGAACAGCGTGATCACATGGGAAGTATAATGAATGATCAAACTCGTATGCATTTCATCAGACTCTTGGAAGGCACGCACACTTCTGGCGCTGGTCCTCGTCTCGACGGCGACCCAAGGGGGCCTCGGCTCAAAACGCGACTGTGAATACGGAAGAAGGCAGACGGCCAAGTACATTGTGGATATTGCTACAAGAGCCACAGCGAGTATAGACAGCTTCAAAGACGATTTCGTAAGTTTAGCTTTAATTTCCTTCATCTGCAGGAGAGCATAATGTACGAGTGAATGATGAAAATATATACTGTAGATTACAGTTATAATGTATGAAAATCACATCATTTCAGGTACAAACTATCCTAAGCATGGACTGGAATACAGCCAACTACTACCTACCCCCTGGCTATGTCGAAGATGAGTGCCTTCCTCCACCTCCGCCTCCCCCAGGCACGTACGAAGTTCAGGCCTTCACAGACGAGCTGGTGCGCATGTACTCCCTCATGCAGAACTACAGCGCGGCGCTCCACCACCTCACGCTCGACCGGGTCCTCAACATAATCCAAACCACAGACTACAATGAGGAAGTGAGTGGCGTTTCTGACTACCTAGACCTCCTCATGAACCACCTGAGACAAGGAATCATCTGCCGCAACAGAGTTCCCGACAATCAAGAGACAGAGAGAATCACGAAGAGAATCTACATCGACGTCGGGGCGGACAGGCACTCGAGGGACTTCGCCATCCTCCGGGACACCCTCGATGCGCTCGAACACTGTATCGAGGTGTTCCAAACTTTCACTTAAAATCTCCAGAATTGCGATTTTCTCTATAAATACGTTCTTTTTTCTCTAATTTGAACTGTGTTAATTAATTTTACTATTTATTTATTTGATGTGTTATCCGTCTGGTACAACAATGCTGTTTGTAATG